AATGGTAGTGTATATGGAGCCTCTAGGCTATAAGCCCTAATCCCTAAGCCACAAACCAGGCGCAATGATACGGGTGATGATATAAATCCTGCAATACCCATTAAGGAATATGCCCCATAATTGCCATAGTTTAGGGTCCTTACCCAATGGTCTTTGGGCCCAAAAGCCTTAAAACTACTGTTGATGATATAAATCCTTAGCATTACCCATAGTAAGGAATATACCATACCCATAGGCGCCTAAGTAGTTCCTTTTTCGAATTGCCTTATAGGAGTCTAAACATAAACCATAAAAAGGAACTACTTAGGGGCCTATGAATAATTGCCATAGAAAAAGGGTCCTCAAGGTAATGCAGGGTTTATATCATCAACAGTAGGCAGAGTCCTTGGTCCTTGGGGTCTCAAAACCACTACATCTTGAGGTTCCCAAAAGTCTTCGGACCCTTAGGATGCGAACCCACACAGCAAGACTCCGACCCGAAACACATCGACGTGACAAAGCCTCTACAGCCTTCTAAGGGTTTAGGGATTAGGGTTTAGATTTCTGGGAAAAAACCAACCTTCTAGGAAGCCTGACAGGCACATGAACCCTGAGGGCTCAAACCCCGGCTCACAGTCAGGACTTTTTTGCCACTGACATTCGTCGCGTAACAGCCGAACCGCACCTGCTAAGGAAACAGGGTCCGCAGAGAGACCTGCACAGAAAAAGAACTGGACTACTACGCGAATCCGAGAATCCAAGTATCCAAAGCACTAAACCCTTAAACCCTAAAGCCCCAAACTCCCCAAAACCCTAAACCCTGAAAGCCCTAAACCCCTAAAGCCCCAAACCCCCCAAAACCCCAAAACGCCCTCCGAACCCCAAACATGAACTTAAACAAAACCTTTCTAATCTCCCCCTTCGGAACCTGCGACCTTGACAGTCTCGTCTACGACGCAGCCACCGAGGTCCCAGCATGTTGCAAGCAACCAAACCCTAAACCCTACCCATAGGCCCCTAAGTAGTTCCTTGTTGGGATTACCTTATACGATTCTATATATAAACCATAAAACTGGACCCCAAATAACCTACCGTTTTAGGGATCCTGATTTTAATTTCTTTATACAAGTCTTTAAAAAGGTAGGTTCTTTTGGGTCAAGGTAAACCCTAAGCCCCACACCCTCTAAGGCCTCAACCATAAACCCTAAATTCATGATTCCCCTTTCCAACTGGGGCTCATCGAGGTTTATGATTACGTCCTTATTGGGTTCAGGGCTTGGGGCTTAGGGTTTAGGGATTCATCAGGAATTGAAAGGGTTCATGGTGATTCCTAGGGCTACATGCCAAGGCCTGACTTCCCTTTCATCTCATCTTGCTTGGAAAGAGCACACCATGAAAAAGGCGTCACAATGGCTTCACAGAAGCTTGCAGGTTTGCTTACTGCTTTGTATGGGTCGTTGACCTTCAAGCCCTAAACCCCACGCCCTAAACCCTGAACCCTTGACACGAATGAAGCCCCACTCCACCCCGCCCCCAAAACAACTTGGGTCGGGCCGTCGGATTTCAGATTGCAAGGCTTTGGGGGTTATCAGGTTCAGGGCCTCCCTTGTAGAAAGGGCTTAGGGCTTTAGGGCTTTAGGGGTTTAGGGTTCAGGGCCTCCCTTGTAGAAAGGGCTTAGGGCTTAGGGCTTTAGGGCTTTAGGGCTTTAGGGTTCAGGGTCTCTCTTATAGAAAGGTTTTAGGCCTTAGGGCCCCGAAGCTTGCGTAATTAGCCTGCCGGGTTGCTTGGACTGCTTATGAATATAGGGTTTAGAGTTTAGGGTTTAGGGATAGTTTTGCGGGCATCTACCTAGAGGCCTTGAAGGTTAGACTTGGGCTTTGGGTTATCTTATGGCAAACTTCTGATGCGGAAACTCGAGCCATGCTAGATCCTAAACCCTAAACCTCTAAACCCTAAACCATCTATACCCTAAGCTCCAAACCCTCTAAACCCAAAGCCCTTCACAGTCCTAAACCCTAAACCCTCTAAACCCTAAACCACTTATATCCTAAATCCTAAACCCTCTCCAAGCCCTAAACATATATATCCTAAACCCCAAACCCTCTAAACCCTAATCCATCCATAGTCCTAAATCCTAAACCCCATAAACCCATAAACCCCTAAACCCTAAATCCTAGACCCCCCCCTAAGCCCTAAACCATCCTCAGTCCTAAACATAGTCCTAAATCTCCAACCTCCTAAGCCCTAAACCCTGTAATTTGTTCAGGCTTCTACCGCTGCCAAATGCTAGGGCCACGGTCTGGGACATCTTGGGACCTCAGAGACTCCAAAACCCCGGAGTTCAAGGGACTAAATGAGAGACCCTTAAACTAGGATTTAGGGTTTAGGGTTTAGGATCTGGGGTTCAGGGTTTCGGGTGTAGGGTCTGGGGTTTAGTGTTTCGGGTGTGGGGTCCAGGGTTTAGGGTTTCGGGTTTATCTGGGTTTGGTTTGGGTTTAGGGCTGAGGGCTTGGGGCTTATGGTTTCGGGTTTAGGACGAAGGGCGTAGGGTTTGTAGACCTGGATCTCAAGCGGTTCTCGCCTCCGTGTTAAAGAACCCCCTGCTGTTTTTACAGGCCTCATGAGGCTATGTATGATTCCTATTCCACCAGTAGGGGCCTTCTAGAAATCCTGAAAGAGGAACCCTCTATAGAAACCCCTGGGTAGTTCTCTAAAGTAGGGATAGGGACCCCTTTTTAAGTCCCCAATATAGTATAGCACGGCTCCCTTATGGACCCTAATATAAAAGGGACCCTATTTTAGAGAACCACCCTAAACCCTAAACCCAATAAACCCTAAACCCTAAACCCTAAACCAAACCCTAAACCCTAAACCCTAAACCTCTAAACCCTATGAACACTAAACCCTAAACACCCCCCCCCCTAACGACTAAGGGGTCTTGGAGTCTTTGGGAGTCTTCCTGGGCGAAGTCGGCGATTTCGGCTTCGGCTTCGGCGGCAAGGGCGGGTCCGAGCCCGTGTCCACGCGAAGCCTCACCGATCCCACCTGCCGGGCTTAAGGGTCTAGGGTTTAGGGTTTGGGGTTTAGGGTTCCTTAAAGGGATCTATATTGTTCCTTAAAGGGATCTATAGGGTTCCTTAAAGGGGTTTAGGGGTTTAAGGGTTTAAGGGTCCTTGTATCATTGAGGGACATAGTGAAGGGCTCTAAGGGTTCTATAGGGTTCTATAGTGTCCCTTTGAAGGGTACTATAGGGTTTAGGGCTTAGGATGATTTAGGAGCTTACTCTAAGGGTCCTTGTATCATTGAGGGACATACTGTTGATGACCCCTCGTAGAATCTACGCAACAATCCGGTGTAAGTGGTTCCTTAACTAATGTACATACGGGTACTATCCTAAAAAACCTACTATCCTAAATCCAAGGTTGAAAGTCGCTTTCGACCCCAAGACTCAAGCGATCCCATCTCGTTTTGCTACGGCTGATGATTTAAATCCTGCATTCCCATAATTAGGAATATGGCCCAGAACTCCCATAGTTTAGGGTCCTTAAGGTAGTGCAGGGTTTATCTCATCAACAGGACTATCTAAGGATTTCAAAAGCGATCATTCAACCCTTAACAAGCCCTTACAGGAAACGTCAACTGAACGAAATTGATGTCTGTAGACGCACACACACAAAGTAGTAGGCCCTGGCCTCATAACACCATAGCTCCACAGGGTCTGTGCTTGGAGCTTGGCGGGCGGGCTACTACCATGAGCTTCGGCCTATGTCTTGCTCGTAAACAAACGAAAGTGTCATCTTGCTGTAGCACACCCTGAAACCCTTAAAGACACTTGTATACCCTACAAACCCTAAACCCCAGTAGACCCGAAAGCCTGAAGCCTAAACCCCTAAACCCCTGAATTCAAAACCCTCAACCTCAGACGCTAAACACCAAAACCCCTTAACCCTAGACCAATCATCATATACCTTCCCGAATATTATCCTAGATAACTAGTATCCGCAACGAAAGAAACGTGCTATTGGGCCCTTTGGACCCTTAAAACCCTCTTTAGGCAGCCTACAACTCCCTATAGATCCCTTATCGAATCCTTATAGAACCCCTTATTTTGGGGGTCCTTTGGACCCTCAGGGTAGTCTTAGGATCTTGACCGTATGTTCAACATGATTCCAATCAATCTAGGGCCTGAGGCATCCAACAATCATGGCATGAACTATAATAGTATAATATTATGCTACATACTTTCATAAGATATACTTCAGTATGCTATATACGTTACTAGTATATGCCTCAAAAGTATACTACTATAGTATATACTAGAATCGCCTACGATCAAAGTGTGCCGCTTCCTGGGACAGCTTACAGGGCGGCCCAAGTCCCATCCTCAGGAACAACACATAGGCCCCTAAGTAGCTCCTTTTTGGGATTACCTTATAGGATTCTAATTAAAAAACATAAAAAGGCACTGCTTAGGGGCCTATGGGAAGACGCAATCTGGCATGCAGAAGCCGACCACTACTTTCCCGTGTTCTTGTTCAGGAAACTATTTTGAGTTACTATAAAATAAGGAAACCATATATGATGTAAAAAACCCTATTATTGTAACTTATGAATTAAAGTCCTTAACAAGAACGTACTTTTTGTTCTGCTTGCTATTGCCAGGTAGGAAGCAGTGCTGAGTATCATGGCCCCTCTTGCTTCTCCGTGATTTGCCGTGACTGTACACTGTACATGTGCAAGGTTGGCAAACCATTGGAAGTCTGCGGTTTCCTGTAGCAGGCGTAGCAGTTGAACCCTGCTTTGGGCAGCATGATAACTTGTCAAAGGACCGGGTGCATTCTTGCAACAGCAAGGGTAATAGCAACATTTTTTTAAGCAAGATTCTGAAAAGAGTAACAACAATAGCAACAGCAATAGTCCGAACACTAGTGTGTACCACATTTCCTATTACTTTACTAGATCACTAAACATGTGCTACAAGAGCTGGTTACAGTCTAAGATAATTATGCCTTTCAGGCACACGGCTCAGGCGCACGTTCAGAGAAGCGCACTTGCCTGGGTTCTTGTCAAAGGATTTAGTTTAAGTTACGATAGTAAGGAAACCACATTATTTACTGTAGATCCCTATCATAGTAACTTGATTTAAATTCCCTGAAGAGAAACCCCTCTTGTGGTAACTTAAATTGAATTAGAGTCCTTAAAGCGAAGCCCAGTTGCTGCATGAGGCCTTGGTTTGTGAAGCCTATGAGGGTGTAAAGGCGCTCGGCACCATGCGCTCCCCTTGCATCCGCGTTGAGGCACGTCCTCAGGCCTGAGGTCAATGCCATTGCTTGAGGTTTATAAGGGGTTTGTGGGGTTTAGGGTTTAGAGGTTAGGAGTTTAGGGGTTTAGGGGTTTAGGGTTTAGGGTTTAGGGTTGTTTAAGGTCTAGGGGTTTACCCATAGGTCCCCTAAGTAGTTCCTTTTATGGTTTATATGTAGAATCCTATAAGATAATCCCCAAAAAGAAACTACTTAGGGGCCTATGGGTAGGGTTATAGGGTTTGGAGTTGGGAATGCAACCAATGCAAGATATAGCAAAGCAAAGCAGGGCATAGCAGTATACGTACTCAAGGTCTGCTTATCCCGCCTCGCTTGGCAAGGGCAGCCCCGATGGTTTTGACCAACGCCGCGGCGCAGCCCCGCCTTCGGTGCGGTGGCGATGTGTACACCATCTGGATCCCGCGCCCAACATCTGCCAAAGCTCTGGCAGCAGTTGAGACGGCAGCAATGTCAGTGCCCACTTGCCACACATAGACTTCGCATGTGGCAATTAAAGCCTCGATTGCCTGTCGGTGCGACTCTCGTGTTTCTTGAGGGTCATATTGGCCGATATCCTGTTTGAACGCCACATGGTGGTCCGTGAGTTGTTCTACCACTGCCTCCTCCGCTAAAAGCACTTCGTCGCAGAGGCCTGCAGGAACAGCTTGAAGAGGCGCTTCCTGGGGTGGGAAGTTTCGAAAGACAGCTCCTTGTAGGCGAGGTTCAGGAAAGGAGGTCTACCGCAGGGAAATACTCCTAAACCCTATAAACCCTGAACCCCAAACCCTATAAACCCTAAACCCTAAAACCTGGGCTCAACCCAAAAGTTTCCCCGCGCCTTGATGGGGAGCACGCGAAGCATTTGCCCAGCTGGGGGGTCTCCCACTTCAGGAGAAGGGGACGAAAGCTCCATGGCAGTCACAACCATTTTGGGAGTCCAGAAAATGGCCTTCGCTGCAACTTTGCCGACAAAAACCGGTCGGTATACAGGGCCCTAAACCC